AGATTTTCTCTTAAGCCATTATATGCGAGGCTAGCAAAAATAAACTAAAACGATTTCTATCGTTTGGAAGTTGTTGAAATCGTTAGATCGTCAGAACGTTAATCGAGCCGAGAACGAGTAGTACTCGTGATCGACATTAGCCGGACTCCTGGGGATATCGAGTATACGATTGGTTACTGAAATTTAATCGGATTTACAAGGACGCTAGAAAAGGATCAATGAGGAGGAGGTAGTGGGTGGGATTGGGTGTTGTATGAGTCCTAGGGTTTGAGTTTTAGGGTTAGGGTTTGAGAAGAGGACTCTGACGAAGGGGTGGTTGGAATGATGATAATAGTGGTTGCCAACCATGGTGGTATTAGTGATAGCCATTTGTGTTGGTGTTAGTGGTAGTTCAACGGATATCGAATTACAGGCGGATTATCACCGAGCGAGGATCAACGCCGTTGCCACGGGGAAACGGTAATTATTTCTGCGTTGGCCATAATTATTGCCAGCCTGGCAATTAATTTCTGGCAGAGCGGCAATTAATTTATTGCCGCTTGATTAATCACCGCATGCCTGCTGCTGCTGCTGTTGCTGCTGTTGCTGTTGTTTTGTTTTTATTTTTTTGTTTATGTTTTTGTTGTTGCTGCTGTTCCTGTTGCTATTACTTTTGCTTTTGCTGGTACAATTTTCTTAACGTATCGAGATCTCGCGATCGCACTTATTTTTGGAAAAGATTAAAACGTCCTATTAACATTTGCTTCATAATCGATACGTCCTCGTTACGAGCATAATCCTACCGATAATATTCTTTCACGTGTATTTTTTACTTTTATCTTTATCCTCTTGAACGTCTACGTCTTATCTTTTATTATCTCAAGGTGAGACATTTATATATTGAAACATTTTAAATATCCTTAAGACCACTTATATATTATTTCATAGGTGCAAATGTAGAATTATATTTTTACAGTACAATATATGTAAACACAGTAATATGTAGGATACATATTTTTTGTTTGTTTCATAAGTCAAATAATTTAATTTTATTGAAATAATATAAAACAACGAGAATAATCGGGGGGGGGGGGTAACACAGATATTCCAATGAAAATGAATCACCCTGTATAAATTCGTCAAATCTTTATACTCCCGATTAAAGATTAATTTCAATTTCAAAAATGACCGATCCCAGGTAGGTACGCGTACAACCTAGCAATAAATTGTGTGATCGATCGCACGTCGAATTTCTCGATGATGCATTAAAATTCTCGAATACAAAAAAGAAAAAAAATAAATAACAATAATAACGAAAAAAAGAAAAAAAAGAAAAATAATAATTAATGTCCACCTTTCAAAAAGAGATAGAGAGATACAAGTACGAGATATCGATCAACGATAATCTGTTCGACTTGATCGAGGTGGATATTTTAAAACGCATCTTAATAAAGGGACACGCACACATACACACAGAGTCGGGCACGATTTTTTTCGATCTAGACGATGATTTATCTTCTTCCAATTGACGCTCCCTGTCCGTTAGCTCGTTTTTTATTAGACCCCGGAGGTGGTGAGGTGGGATTCTCCCGAGGACTCTCAACGTTCGATACTTTTTTTTTTCTCATCTTTTTCTTTTCCTTTCCTTTTTTTTTATTTCTTTCGTTATCTCATCTTTTAGAGCGCAGTTATCGAGTAAGGATCAACAAAAAAAAAAATAAGAGGGATACAAATACGACGTTAGCCCGTCGTATATATCCTGGGTCAACATTTTCTCGTATCCTGCGAGATATCTACTGGAAACTTTATTTGTCACTTTTCTTTACTGGATAGAAATCGTTAAAAAGACGAAGGAAGGAAGAAAGAATGAAAGAAAGAAAGAACGAACGAAAGAAGGAAGATGCAAGAAAAGGTGCACTTTTTTTTGTGTGTCCTATTTTTGTTCTTTTTCTTCTTCTTAAAAAAAGGACTCCATTCCCGATCGTTCATCCTTTTTCTTCTACATCTATCTTTATCTTTCTTTCCTTCATTCTTTCTTTCGGTAAATCGTAGTTGATTGTAGTTGTCGTCGTCGTCGTTGTCGTCGTAGAGTTGTGGTCGTCCGTAGTCGTCTAGTTTTTGACGATGAAAAATGCGCTATTTTGAAAACACGATTCGTTCCGTTTTATTTCATTCTAGTATTCCATTCCATTCCTCTTTTTTTAAACGTGTTAGGCCAACATTGGTTTTGAACGGGTCGACAGTTCTGTTGTGCTTAGGAATTTTTATAAATTGACTTTCAGGTAGTTCCTTTCTTTTTTTTTCTTTATTTTCTTTCTTCTCCCTAAACGTTACGCCTATCTCTTTTCGTTAGACCTACTTTTTACGTGTACGTAAAAAAGTATTGGAAACTAAAATATTACCCCACCTGTCTTTTTCTTTCCTCTTCCTCTTCATCTTCTTCTTCTTCTTCTTTTTTGTAATTTCTTTATGGCCATTTGAATATTTTTCAGTAATTATGAATATAATCTTAATCTATAGAATTGAACAATTTGTTCTTTAACTTAATCAATGGAATAAAATTAATTTGATTTTTAACCCTTTGAGTGCTACGAACGCATATATGCGTTTGATAAAAGTTCCCAACGTGGACTATTAACGTATATACGAGTTTGTCAATATAAATACAAATAATGTAATGTTGTTTAGTATATTAATTATTGTTTTGAGTCTTGTCACATAAATATTATGTAAGAAACAAAAACTTTAATTATTAATTAATTAGTTATTTCTCTCGTCCAAAATTATAATTCTTAATACGGAATCACAGGGAACTTGGACATAAAAAGAAGTAGAACTTAATTTAACTAAGTTAATTATTAAATATAATTTATATCATTAGATCTGGATTATATAGAGTAAAATCAATAAATGAAACAAATACACTGGTAATAAAGTATTCCGTCCTTACTAAACATTTCAGTTAATAACATTCAGCAATCAAAGGGTTAATTAACGTGCATTTTCTTTTTTTTATATCATTTTATTATAATACTTATGAATTATGAATGAGAATATTAATAATAAATGAACATGTATTGTTATGTTATTTTAGAGAAATGAATTTCTCCTTCTACTGTTTATTGAAAAACCTTGTTACACTCGAGCTTAATCATAAATATCATGAGATAGTCGATGTAGTGCTATATTTACAAATAAAACCTAATTAAATCGTTAATCGCATGAATCCTGATTTCTTTCTCATAGAAAATAATTTAATGAAAATAGAAATAGTATTCGTTGAACGGACGGAGATTTATTTTTTCTTTAGGATAGAAGGTTAAAGGGAATTTTACACACTACTATTCGCATACTGCATGACATGCACGTGTGTGTTTTATTAAACGACCAGGAGGGGAAATTAATATTTCGCGTCGAATATACAAAATTCTATTGAAAAAGATCACCTGATTAATTGTACACGTTTATTATTAGTTTTTTTGGTCATTATTATTATTATTATTGTTATTATTTTCTTTCTAATATTGTGTTACATTTAGAAATGAACGAAATATTATTTAATCCTCACTGGCCGTAAGTTAGAAGCGCATTTTTCTTTTTTTTTTATTTTTCTCAACACTTTCCTTCTATTTTTTTTTCTTCTTTTGTTTAAATTTAGTATTTTTTGATGTACTTGTGTCTTTTAAAAAATCATTTATTGTGATATTTTATGAGAGATCAGGGTTCGAGCTTTTAGCATACTTTAGCCATTATATAATCAATCCTACGTTTAATTATTTAATCAATTAATTATATCATACCATAATATAATAACAAATGTGAAAGCTTAATTTATAATTAACATTATTCGCGAACATTCAGAAACGTTATATGTGGCCCTTTTAATTAAGGGATGGCTCTCGTGAAGACTCGTATTCTTGGAAAACAATTACCGACTCACGGTAACTTACCCCTCAAATTCTTTTCTAAAAGAATAATAATTTTTACGTTCCTGAATATGCCGAGTAATGGCCAGTTAACTTATTATTATTGTCACCGAAGTTACTTTTATTAATAAAATACCATCTAACTAATTCGCTTGTTTTTCGAATCCCCGAAAGTACCGAATGCATTTACCGTTTCTTTTTTTTTTTCTCTTTTGTTCTTGAGAACTAACTCGATACGCCGAGGATTTTCTGGCAATGTTATCAAAAAACTTTATTATCGACGTTTTATTATTGACGTACGATATAAGCGATCGGATTACCCTCAAATTTCTTACGTTTATAGTAAAGAATAAAAGGAGAGAAAGATCGGTCTACGTCGTTTGCAAAGAGCGCAAGTGTATATAAAAACAAAAAAAACATAAAAAAAAAACATAAAAAATTATCAAAGAGTACAGAGAAAGCTTCAGCACGATAATACGAATTTGAAAAACACTTGTTAAAATTTACGAGTGCAATTGATTTCACAATTTCCAACGATTACTTCCTTACCGATCGAATTCTACATTTTCACAATGAAAACGGAAAAATATAATTAAAAAAAAAAAAGAAGAAGAAGAAAAAGAAAACATGAAATAGTAAATTGTTATACTCTCTCCTCGTCTTTTGAGTATTAATGAATTATGATTAATAATTGAGTTAAACTATATAGTAAATTAGAGTTGTGTTAAGGCGTTACTTGTGTATAAATTGTGTTTTTTTTTTTTTTTTCGTTAGGCACACTAAAGTACTAAAGTCTTTTATCAAAGTAGCGTGTTAACTTGCATATTCGCTGGCATTTAAGATAAATCCTTCTTTCTTTTTTCTTTTTATCGTTCGTCCCTCCCGATTACATCGACGTCATACGATATCGATGTACGGTAATGCAGATTTATGTTTTACCGACAAATTTATTATTGATGCTTTTGTAACCTACGCACTCTACATTACTGATTTTCGTCGGTAAACTAGAAATCGCGATAACCGCGGGAAGAAAGAACGAAATTAACCCCCCGAATGTATATTTTTTTGTCCCCACCCCGCCTCCCCCTCCCACGACCGCTTAATTAATTCTACCCTTGTGCGTCATATAGCTTATGCTATCCGAGAGTAATTTTTCTCGCGCTTGTCTTCGCATTCGCGAACACATTGCCAACAATGTACCCGACAATAAACAAATTATACCACAACCTAATCCAACAATAGTGCTCATCACGTTCGATCTTAAACACACTCTGTCGTTTGAGCCTGAATCATTTGCACCTGAAAATTCATATCAAATATTAATATTAAATGATAAAAAATAGATAATATATTTGAACTGTAAGAATTTAATGGTAAAAAAATGTGGTTTTACCATTACGAGAAGCGGTAGTAGAATTCTGGAAAAGTTCCGTGTCAACTTCCCCTTCCTGAAGAACTCGAAGGGATTGGAAAAGATTAACATTTTCCGATAAACTAGTAGCAGGTGTTGTCGGTCCACCAATCATGTCCGATACGGATCTTTTCGCAACATTTTTAGCGTTTCTCCAATGGCATGGTTGACTCTAAAAGTTCAACGTGTTAATAATAATACGTGAGTTAAATGATTGATTTTTTAGATAGTTTGATTTGATTTGAATTGATTGTTTTCTTACCGGACATCGACCGTGGCACATACGAACATCGCACTCGATGTATAAAGCGGGTGATCCTGTAAACCTAAATGTCTTCATATAAGCAAAAACTTGGGTCTCGAATAGACCACTCTCAGACCAGGATCCACGAAATCTGCTAATCAGTTTGTCGTCTACGGGACATCCGTATTGATCGATAAGTTGAATCCTCTTGTTTCCACCATTATGTGCGTAACAATCGTTCACGACGATATCGAAACCATCTATTTATCAAAGATAAAACATGAAAAAAGACAGATTATTTTTCGTATACCTTAATTTAACAAAATAATTTTTCTAACATAGTTATTCTCGTGATATCAAATTTGTCTATAAATACTCTTAGAATTAATTACGATTAATAAATATCTTGATATTAACCCTAGAACTACAAACTTATTTTTTTAACCTTCAGACTACAAACTGGGTATATATTTACCCCTAAAAACTGTTCTAATATCAATAATCAGACTTTTAAGTATATAAATTTTTTTGTGTTTTTCATGCCAAAGAGAATAGTGAAGAGCAAATTCAATTTTACTAAAGTTTGATAGATGAAAAATCGATATAAATAAATTAAAGTACTGAAAAACGATGAAATGTTCATTTAATTTAAGTTTACCTGGGGTATATATTATAGATATCAACCCCACTTAATAATTCTAGGGTTAATATTATATTTTGTAATATCTATATTTGATTGAAGTTAATCAAATATTGCACGTAAATATATTATATATATATCGTGCAGGAAATAATAGAAATTGTTGATTTGTCGAGTGCGTAATAAGAGACGGCAGCATGCGGTCAGGTCGAGGATGCGGAAGGATAAAATAGAATAGATAGTTAGGCGTGTAAGGTAATCTAATGTATAAAATGGAAATACGTGACGCGTGCGTTTTCATTGTGAGGATCGAATCAAAGTTAGGGTTAGATAGCCTCGTACCGTATTTACTGCGCATGTAGATAATGAGAGTCAGAGGATCGCCGACGCGAACTGGTCCAGCCACTCTAGTTCCAGTGGTCCCGTAACCGTATCTGATTTCCATGTAGCACTCCGGTGGCTGGAGGGTGAAGACTACGGGATTTCCCGTGGCGACCCTGAAAGTAGACGCGCTGTTATATAGAAATTGCCAACGATCCGTCTCCGTTATCTCACGGTATCCAACGATTCCACGGTGTTGGATAACGGACATTGCCAATAGTAAAAGCGGAAAGGGAAGAGTGGGGAGGGGGGGGGATTGGATTAGAGAATCGATTCGAAATCAACGATAATCGACCGATTACTCGCTTGAATTATCCTCATCCATTTTCTATCGCGATATTTACTTCGTTTTTCGTTTTAAAAACAAAAATAAACAAACATTTTACCTATTAACAATTTTTTCTATACTCTTGGACTTTGTTTATTTAACGCAGTGTGAGTTTTTCTTTTTTATTAAATAGAGGAATGTCGAGAATTATAAGTAATTTTTGGTTGATGTGATACACACATTGATACGAGTTGTTAACAAATAATATTACAAAGGTAAGTGTAAACGGATATAACACACTGTTACACCGTATAATCATATTATTATTTAAGAACATCTTATTCCTGGGTAGCAAGGGTAGGACCTTTTTTTAGTCTATTTACTTAATTAGAATTTGTTTTTGCTAGAAAGTTCGGATGGTTTGCTAAACGATTTTTGTTCACTGAAAACGCAGTGATTGTGTAATATTAAAAACTAACACACACACAAGAATTAATTTAAATTAATAATGCATAAAATTTTTAAACATAAATCCTATCATTCATACCGTTTGCGTATGTTCTCATATATATAGAATTTGTTTATTAAAAATGTTAAAATTAATAATTAAATAAGAAAAACAGGGATATGACTTACTCGACATCGAGAAAGGGAAACGTCACTGTCTTCCAAAAATCGTATCCATACTCGCAAGTGACCTTGAAGTGTTCATCGAATTCTTCCTCGATCAGCGGATTATACTGGACGGTTACGGTGTTCCACATGAGATTTTTCTATGGTGTAAAATAGTAGAACAATGATGAGAGTATGTTTTTTTTATTTTCTTATCTTACAGTCGATCAGGAGACGATCAACGATTAACAACTAACTCACACACCAACAAGATATTTTCTCTTTCTCTCTCCGTTATTATCATTAAATGCATTTTCCCCTTTCTTTCAATTTTTTTATCTTTTTTTTTTCAATTTTTATTTACTACCATTATTATTATTATTATCATCATTAAGATTATGATTTTTGTTCATACTTATATACGCACCGTGGGGTTCTTTCTGCTGTCCTGGTGATGAGTGTTCTCGCCCAGAGTGCCGCACCGATTCAATTGGATGTAAAATTCATAGTAATCACGGCCCGTTCCGTTAACGTACATGCAGTCGGGATCGTAGGAGTATCCTATAATTAATACCGATTGTCCTTGACGAATAAGAATCACATAGTAGAGATTCGAATCTCTAAATCCTCGAGGAAATTATGATTACGTAATAGCATCTCGAAACGATTCAATCGATTTTATCTATCTATCGATCGTATTACTCGAGTTATATCGAATAGTGTATTGTCTTCTAAAGATAAATTATCTAGGGTAGATGTAAAACGATTTTATCTGTCACTTTATACCTGCTGAGTAAAGTAATCCTGTGAACGAGCCATTAAAACCGATCCTGATTTTCATATAATCATCCTGGCACTCTGCTTCGATATCTGTAATAATAGATAAAAATATATTTAAGTTAATACGTGTATGTGTGTTCGTTTAATGTTAATTTAACGATATTAGTGTCAATAATTTTTGCAAAGTTATGCTATGATTCGGAAGAATTTAATTAGATATCGATATTAAACAAATTGATATGTTTTACCGAAAATTGAAAAATAAATATCTATACTTTATTCGGCAAAATATATAAAAATAATTATTTATCCCTTTCAATATTTAATTTACGATCTTTCAAATAAATTATATTTAATGCTTAAAATAATTATATTTAATATATTTTTCTAATCGTTAATGAAAAATCAATTATTTTCCTATTAAATTTCCTCGGAAATAAATTATTTTTCGTTCAATTAAAAAAAAAAAATCATTTAAAAAGAAATCTCGATATAATTCGAGTTAAAAATAATAAGTCCTATAGAGCTTCGAAGATTCGTCAGTTAAAAAAAAAAAAAGAGGTCGTGGAAGAGAAGGATGAAGAGTGAAAGTGAAGTATGTAAAGTATGTTTCGTTAGGGTGTAATAGTCCCTTCATACTCGCTCATCGTGGTTGAGCTAAAAGCAACTGTTTACGTCCTACCGATGTAATCTTAAGAATTGTGTTGGATAAAGAGAGATATTTTAGATGAAGGATGAAGATAGTTTCACTTGGAAGGACGTATTTCTCTCTCCCTCTCTCTCACTCTTTCTCTTTCTCTCTCTTTTTCAAGATGATACAACTAGGCACATATTTACTATAGCATCCCTTCAACATTAACAACATTTTCGAGCAACATTTTCTTATCTCTTTCTCATTCTTTCGTATTTGTTTCGTTTTTTTTCTATCCTTCTTTTTGTTTAACGTATTCACGCGTGCATGCATGCATGCATGCATGAGTGTATGCATGTATATATGTATGTCAAGTAACACATGCACGCTTATTAGAATTGCGGATGCATGCTTTGTGTTCATTGTCCGGTAAAACGACGCTGCGTAGACAATAGAACGGATTGCACAACTTCGATACACGTTCTATGATAAACGAGAAAAGGGTGGATGGGGAGGAAGGAAAATGGCCGAGATTTATCGTTGTAAAATCATGACAAGTAAAAATAACAATAACGACTAAAAGTCATTATTATGTCTAGTCACACTCGAAGCACTTAAGTTAAAATCATCACACATGACAAAATGACGTTTAGTCATATTTATGTTAAATACTATTATGTCTTATTACATACGTATGATTACTAATTCGAGTGATATTTAAAAACATTTATATGTCGAATCACACTCGATACTCTAATGTAAATTTGAATCCTCAGTGTGCACATTTTCGTAACGAATCATTAAATGCATACTGGGTCAATTCGATTCCGAACAATATTCGGTTTTAAATAATATTTCGGTAACTATACACTTATTAACACAAATAAAAGGTAGAAGTACTTTTTCTTGTAAACTGAATAAACTTTAAGATTGCGGAAACAGATTTTGTAAAAAGAAAAAATGTAATTTCCAAAAAACGAGTTTTAAATTGAAACTGGTCTCGTTGGTAGAAAGTAAAAATTCGAATGTTCAAATTGATTCCCTAATGCACACAAAAAATAATATTTAAAATATTCAATTAAGTTTGATTTATTTAGGAAAAATTGTTCTACCCAAAAGAGTATAAGGGATTGCAAGGTACGAAGATATAATATTTTCCTCCCTCTGGAGAAGAATAATATGACAGAAAAAAAAGTATAATAAAAAGAGTAAAATAAAGAAATAAAATAAAAGTATATTATATTTATAACATAATTTAAATAAATTTATCATATATTATAATATAATAAAAGTATAATAAAATATAAATATATCCAAAGACACTATATATATGAGACCTTTCGTATGCAAAAATCAACTTTTGTCCTATCTACAGTGCAACTCTTTTTATTATTTCGATAGAATGACCTTGACGCGCAATCCTAAGACCACCGAATTGGACCAAACAATGTCGAGTATAACACTCGACACGATTAATAGTCGTTTAGGGTAATGAGGAGACACCAAATAAAATGAGAAATAGAATAATTTAAGGATGAGAACGTGTATGAATCATGCATGTACCGGAGGATACATTAAACTTAATGGTCCTTCTTTCGAGTAATTGACGATACCGCGGGTGGCCTTATGGTTCCCGCGGTGCATGGCGGCCGTCTTTACGACTTCATTGAACCTTACACAAGGTTTTATCTCTCTTTCTATCTCCTACCGCGTGCCTTGGCATCTATCATTTATAACTACGTGCCTTTTCTCTTTTCGCACGCTCATCGACGATAGTTCGCGTATCCTCCTCCCCCCTCCTCCCCCCATCCTCAACCCTTTTTCCCCATCGCAGCTCGCTTGCCCTTTTCTTCTCCTTTTTCCTTCTCTATTTCTTTACAGAAAGAAAAGTCGAAACGATCGATGAGATCTTCGACCTTCTAATCGATAACAAATTTTCTATCTCTCTTAAAAGTCATTTAAATTAGCTAGGAATCTTTAATTAGCATCTAACACAGGTATGTTTTATTTTTCTTTTTCTTTTTTCTTTTCTTTTTCTTTTTTTTTTGCAATTAAATGTGGTAATAAGTACGTTGATTTTTGCAAGATTGTAAGATGGAAATTTGTCCAAACGCGGTATGCTTAATTAGTAAGAATTATTTTTAATTATTATCTCCTTTGATTTGTTCTTTTTTTTTTTCTAATCAAACTTAAATGCAAGTATATTTGTAGTCGTGTGCAGTACAACAAATCGATAACAAATTTTCTTTCTTTTTTTATTTCTCTCTTAGGTCATTTAAATTAGATAGGAAACATTAATTAGTATCTAACAGGTATGTTTTATTTTTTTTCTGCAATTATATGTGATAGTACGTACGTAGATTTTTGCAAGATTGTAAGATGGAAATTTGTTCAAACGCGGTATGCTTAATTAATAAGAATTATTTTTAATTATTATCTTTTTGATTTGTTTTTTTTTTTTTCTAATCAAACTTAAATGCAAGTATATTTGTGGTCGTTGTGTGTGGTGCAACAATAAAAACATTAAAAGCAATTTACGTATGTTAATAAATTAATTAATAAAAAATATAAAAATATTGTTTAGTATTAACGGAAACGATAAACAATGGTATATAAATTTTATTTTTAACGAACATATAAAAGAAAGAATTAATGTCTTATGGAAAATATGAAAACAATACCGTGTTAAAAAAAAAACAAGTTTGGTTATATCAGTAGGATTTTTTAGTAATGGAAAATAGTAAAAGGTAGTAACACATAAAAAAAAAGAAATAAATAGTATAATAATTCTTACGAACTATGTGTGATCTTCTCACATAGATAAGGAATCTTCATAATACTTGTAATTATGCATAAAATGAAATGTTTAGCGAACTGCTTATTAAATGATTCCAACGGTAAATGAATAAATAAATAAATAAATAAATAAATAAATAAATAAATAAATAAAAAAATGTGCTCGTATGAAAATGAATGAATGAAAAATAATAATTGTTAGTAAAAAAAACTGAAATATGCGTGCGAAGTACGGTCCAATTATCATCGATTACAAGCCGCCATTACCACATTCAAAAGTCACACATATAAACCAACACAACTTGATTTAAATTAACTGAGATTTTCTACGCTCGAACCTAAGTTCAATGATTTAATAGCAAGACCGGACTTTAGATACGTTGATGATGATCCTAAAAGAGAAGGTAAAAAAAAAAGGAGAAAGATAAATGATAGATAGATAAGATGGATAGATAAATAGATAAAGAAAGATAACCGTGACGAAGATCAAGAATAAGGCGTGTTAAAGTCCTCCTCTTCTTCTAGTTTTGGTGTCAGCAAACGTTCTACGACTTCCCGACACCGTTTTAATTGCTCCTACTCTAACGGTAGCTTCCTATTCGCCGTAACCTACTCGAAAATTTTCTTTACCTATCTTTTAAACCTTTTTTTCCCCCTTTTACATTTAATCGATCCTTCGACGTTTAGAGTACTCGATTATTATTTTATTTCTTTATTCATTTATGTTTCCTAATGATCTCTAACGAAAATGATTAATCTTAAATATTATTCTTTTATCTCTGGATAGAGTTATATATAATTATTCCAAAATATTTTCTATTAGTTTGGTGAAAATCTTAGGAATGATTATAAATTGTTTTAACAATATTCATTGTTATTATTATTATTATTATTAATTAATTCTATTCGATATTACGAATTGATCATCGATTAATAAATCACACAATGATTGACTTTTTTATTGATAATAATTATAAAATTAAATATTGATTTTTGATGAATTATGATTTTCTTTTAACTTACGTTGTACTCTCGTGGTATTGGGCCTATATCTTCGATGTTCTCGATCCCAAGTTTCCGGATGTCTCCGCCATTCTTCGTCAGCGACCACACCTGTTCCGCCCCCTCCTGTTAATCCTTGAAGTCCTTGTAGGGTTTGTAAAGCTTGAAGATTTGGACTTAGTGGACGATTTTTTATAGATGGTACTGGAACGTATGCTCCACCTTCTCCTACATATACCACCTTAAAATAAAAATATCATTAATAAATATCAAAAATACATAACCGTATATATATATATATAAAATATTAACAAGATCAAATTGTGAAAGAAAAATAAATTAATTAAAAATTCTCGGATATATAATAATAATTTTAATAAATAATTCTACTTAAATAAAATAATATAAATATTACTAATATTCATTTACCGTAAACATTAAAAATAATTTAACGAATATCATATAAATATCAAAACAATATAAAATATCTATGCACAAAAACCATAAAAATAATCTTTTAAAGATACCTCTTTCTATTTAATAGAAAAAAAAAAACATACATATAATACCAAGCTACTTATACCTATATACACATTTACAAACTCATATAGAATACTATTTTCTCATAAATCACGAAACATAACATCACCCCATTCCTCTCACAGATCACCGAACCCTCTCTCTCTCTCTTCTCTCTCTCTCTCATAACGTGAGACCTTTAACCTACGTTAACGAGTCCCTTTAACCTTAAGATCGACAAATCGCTACCGAGCAAGAAGAGAAAAGAAGAGAACAACAACATACGGTAGATGGAAATGGTACGAAGTCGTGATGAAGGGAAGAGAAAGAAGAAAAAGAAGAAGAGGTCGTTCTCGAGAAGGAAGAAGAAAACTTTCTTTAGGATCCACTCGAAAAACACGAGGCACGAGCAACGCGTGACTAACGCTTTACAAGCTCGTGTATACACTTTTCTATCTCTATCTCTATCTCTCTTTCTTTCTCTCTCATTTTCTTGCTCATTTTTTCTAAGACTTCGTGTAAATACGTATAGGCATATACGTACGAACCACTACTATTATTACGCTCCTGTGTACACTCGTTTTCTCTGTCTCTTTCTTGCACATTCATTCTTAGTTAAACTTCGTGTAAATACGTGTATATACGAGCACCGCTATTATTACATTCATCTATTATTCTATCTTGCACATTCATTTTCTTAGTAAAACTTTGTGTAAATACTTGTTTCTGTATGAGCACCACTACTATTATATACTCATGTATACATACGTTTTCTCTCTTGTACATTCATTCTTATAATTATTAAAATTTCGTGTAAATACATATGTGTACGAGTATTATTACTATTACACACTCGTATGTACATTCGTTCTCTCTCTCTCTCTCTCTCTCTCTCTCTCTCTCTTATATAATTATTCTGTCATGAGAAAAATTTCGTTTAAAAACGTGTAAGTACAAATACTACTACTATTATGCTCATTTATATACCTTTTTTATCTCACTTTTTCTCATTTATGTTTCATGATAGTTCGTAGTAAAGAAAAGTACTACTACTATTACGATCGTGTATATATCCTTGTCTCTTTCTCTCTCTTACTTTGGTATATCTTATATAATATAATAGTATTATGAAGATACATGCATGTGTATTTGCACTACTACCTATTACGCTTGTGCATATACCTTTTTTTCTCTCTTTCTCACTAATTCTTTGTATAGATACGAGTACTTAAGTATTATTACTATTACAACATGAGAAAAATAAGTGTATAAGAAAAGAAATAAAAATATGAAAAAAAAAAATAGAGGAATACACTCATGGTTGTCAGGACGATGCATAGGGAGTTTGTAAACACCTACTCTGACGAATCAGGTGAGGAAACTGGAAGAAGAAGAAGAAGAAGAAGAAGAACCAGAAGAAGGAAAAGGAAGATAAAGGGGAAGAGATAGGCACGTGGTTGGTGGTAAACGTTCAGAGTACTAAAAACTTGCAAACAGCTTCCATATGCCTTATGTTAGTTATGAAGAAACACCAGCATGTTATTTCTCTTCTTCACTCGTTTTTTTTCCTTTCTATCTGTCTGTCTGTCTGTCTCTCTCTTTCTTTCTCTTTCTATCTTTCTTTCTTTTTCGCCATATTACACTTTCTTGTTGTCAGAAAGCTCTTAAAGTCGTTTCCTTGCCACTCACTCTTCCATTCCACTGCGGGAAATTATTGCTTTTCACGGATTCCACTTTTGAGGAGCGTTTCTGGAATTCGTGAAGGGTTTAAGAAAAGAGAATGAGAGAGAGTGAAAGAGAGAAAGATGAGTATAGAGGAAGGAATTGTTGGAGGAGGGTATTGGAATCGTTATGGATCTTACTACTCGCCAGGTTTATTCCTCTTGCTTACTTGTTTCCTTGGTTTGTTGTATTGTTGGCTAGTGATGTGTGTATTGGTTGCTATATTGTTGGTTGTTTTGTTTCTTAGTTACTGTGTTTTAGGTTACTTGGTTGGTAAGTTAATTGATGTGTTATTTGGTTGGTAAGTTAATTGGTGTGTTACTTGGTTGGTTGGTTGGTTAGTTTGTGTATTAATTGGTTGGTGTGTTGTTGGTTGTTTTGTTTCTAAGTTACTGTGTTTTTGGTTACTTGGTTGGTAAGTTAATTGATGTGTTACTTGGTTTGTGTATTAATTGGTTGGTTGATTAGTTGACTGGTATGTTGGTTGTTGTTGTGTTAGTAGGTTGGTTAGTGTGTTAGTTGAACAGATTTTTCTTCTTTATGTTCTTCTTCTTTTCGCGTGAACTTGAGAAATGAGAACTTGGTCGATATTTTCGAATCTTTTCAAAGTCGTTTTTTCTCGAAGATCTCAAGACAATTCCCTTTTCCTCGTCATTTCGAAGACATTAAGGAGAAGAGAGAAAGGAATTGTGTTGAAGCGGTACCTTTGTGATAGAAATCGATGCCGACATCATGATCATCGTGCTCTCCTCGTCGAAAATGAGAATGAGAATCGTAAAATACGTAATCGATTGGATCGATATCGTTCGAACATTCCAGTCTTTTATATTTTCCTTTTATTTTTTTCTTTATTTCTTTTTGTTCTTTTTCACATTTATAGGTGTAAACGTCGGCGTTTACGAACTTAACGATTATCGATCTTAAGTTTTATATTTTACGTAGAAAAATTTTATGGAACACATTTTTTTTTATAACAAAAAATAAAAGTGTATAACTAATTTAATTTCACGAAATTTTGTCTTCTTTTATTTTATTTTTTTCCCCATTACACACACTTTTACCCTTCAATTATTATTTATTGTAAAATTAAATTAATGTTATTTAATTGTACAGAGAGAACAATGATATAAATAAAAATAAATTAATTAATAAATATAATATATATTTTTTATAAATTGAAATAATCATTGTGAAATTTATTGATTATCTCACGAGTATCAAAGTAATCGTATATTATTATTGGTTCGCACGATCGAAGTAACGCTTTTCCTGTTCTTCCGTCGTCTCCGATCGAGCGAAACATGGATCGATAACGGAAGAAATTCTGAGAGAATTCACCTCGATGTTTAGCTATTCGCCAGAGGGAAAAGTCGAAAGTAATTAATCGATCATTCCAAAGAAAAAAGCAGAAAGATAGAGAAAGAACATGACTGATTCCATTTGACTGATTAAATTCACCTGTCATAAATAATAAATAATATCGAACGACAAACTTGTCACGTTTCCTCTGTTCAAATATAAATAAATAATTAAATAAATATTTCATATATATTTGCAAAAATATAACGCACAAAAATGTGTTTTAAATAAATTCATTATTTGGATAACGAAAAAGAAATTAATCGAAAGTTTAACAACAAATAATGTTTAAATTGTTGTTTGAATATTATGAAAATAATAATGAATAGTAAAATTGGGAGAATATTTATAAGATTAATATATTAAAAGTTAGAATATAGTTAATTTGTATCCATGAGTATTAACGTCCTGGATTTCTATTTCCTTCGTTTCCTTTTTCGCTATCTTGAAACTATTCCAACGACTTGAACGAAGGTCAAGGCAGACTGCATTACGATCCCGTACGTTTTCTATGACTCGCGATTGGTATCGTTTAAATCGAGTAAATACTTGTCGCGTAACTACGTTTCTATGAATGGCATTTAAATTTACTACGTTAATACTATATCAATGTACAAGGTGACTCGTACACCTGAAATCATTTTAGAATTATTCATCTAATCAAAAATTATTCGATACAAATGTTGCATGATTTTGAATGCAGCAAACGATTACGTATCAGTTTTTCTAACATGTTGGAAAGTTTCGAAATGTTAAAAATTAACTTTTATTTTTTTGTTTTTTTTTTTTAATAGAATCTAATAGAATTTTAATAGAATTTAATAGAATTTTTAATAGAATTTTTTTTTAAATAGAATCATATATCTTTTGGATCATACATTGAAAGAATATTATAAATTCCAAGTTAATAAAAAGAATTTACGTATATATTTATCTTAAATCTAATGATTAATGAAGTTATATGTAATTAGTTATCCTGGATAAAACTCGAATTCGTAATAAGTTGTTTAATTTTATTCGACGATCTATATAAAATGAATATGGATAATATCACATACCTAGATCATTGAAGGAAAACAAGAAATTAGATAAAAAAGAAATGACAAGCGGAATATTTGAACGAACAAGAAGAAAATTTCCGTCAATACGTTTTTCATCGAGTTACCGTGTATAAGCTTCGGGGATAACCGTAACAATCGATTATTATTTGCCAATAGGGAAGCGTAAAAAGAGAAGATGAGAATGATGTGGCTTATCTTTGCCCTTCTTTTTTATCTCATGATCTATTTTTTATCATTTGTCAATCATCCACCGAACGAGATCAAACGTTCACCAATAAAACTTGCGAATTTTTTGCATTTTTTAATTTATTAATTTTTCTATTTTTTATAATTGATAAAATATATAGGCTAGGTTCTTTAAAAAAAAGCTCCTAGATAATATTAATTCTAAAATTACTAAACGTATTGATTAAATTTTATCCTAGAAACAACAAAATAAAAACTCGTTGTATTTTAAGCAATAATTATTATCATTGAATTTCGATAATTGTAGAATTTTTTAATTTTTGCTTTATCCTGTATAATTAATAATATTATTAGAAATATTGTTAAATTACGAATGAAACTTACCGCATCGTGATCACTTGCCTCGTGAATCAAAGATTCCCTCGTCTCATTTTGCAAAGATTGTTCATCTTCCGGTCCAGATCCACTTCCTGCCCAATAATCCTCCGTAGTTTCCTCCAATGGCGTCTCTTCGCTATTTCCATCGTTATTCGGACTCTCCAAACTTGTCGCCTATCCAAGAAAAAGAAAAACAACAAATGATTTCTTTAAGTTCAAGTTCCCATTTCTTACAATTTTTTATTATCAGAAACATCTGTTGTGAGTTAATTTAACTTATATTTTTTTAAAATAAAATTAATTTTTAGCTTTAATACGAATTTGTTCAATGCGCATCCAGATTTTTCGACAAACTAATTAAAAAGTTAAATAAAATATTTTGAAGTCCCACCTTGCATATCTTCCTTATAGTAGAATAAAATTAAACAATAAAGACATTATTTCAGTGATTTACGTAAAAAACAATCGAAACCATTGTTAGTAGTAAATACCGAAACTAATCGAAGAAATCCCGACAGTAGTATAAATAAAAGATTAGCTTATCAAATTTATTCTCACAAACAATGCATAATAATTACTCTTAGATTATTTTCTTCGAAACTCATATCGACTAATTAAAACAATCACAGTGAATCATCGTCAACACCGAGTTATCCGAAACCTAACATAAACCAGAACTAATATCTCATGTTTTTCTCAGGATGCAAATGTAAAATAAATTTAACCGTCACTTGATCACTTGACCAATAGAATAAAACTCCAAACAATTCTGTCCTGAAAGAAACGTATAGAATCTTCTCGAATGATTTGAAAGAAATGGTATGGAACGTTCTCGAATAGTTCACAAAACTCAAGAATGTTAAAACAATTATTGAGTTATGAATCCTCAATATGTATTCACTCTCTTATTATCCCTTTTATCTTACAGTCATTAACTTCACTTGATAATAGTTTTGATTCTGATTTTTCATTTCGAATAATTAACTTGTAGCCTGATCTTAGTAGTCAATTTTCCTTTTCTGATTCTCGATTTCGAGTATTACATAAACTTGTGTTAGTTAAACTTGTGCTAATTAAAGAAGAAACAAACCAGCGATCAAACCAAGCACAATAAAGGGTCTTGTATTATCAACTATTTGTATGTAAAAAAACATTTATAATTAAATATCTTAGTGAATCAGAGCTATGGGAACTTATAATTTGTACCACTTCGTATCATTTTTCCTTTCTTCATCCTCATCCTTTCACTCGTTTGCCATTATTTATCGCCATTCAATCTTGGGAATACAAACCTGCCTGGTCCCGGCTAAACTCGGTGAACGCAGAATGGCAAAAAAAAAGGCTTAGCACATACTACTTAAATTTATTTCGTCAGTTCAGACGTAACAATATCGTGTAAACAAATATTTTATATCAAAACCAAAAAAAGACGTATATAAATTTGTAATTTTATTTGTTATAATAATAAAAAAAATCTGCATAAAATAATATAAATATAATATATAAAAAAAAATATGTATAT